ACTGACAGACAGCCTCTGCATGTTTCCCCGCCTTCTAGCCCAGACTCCTTCGTCTCACCATCAGCAGCGGCGCACGCATTCGGGATGCGTGATTCACGCATCCCCCACACGCGCGCATCCGTCAGCCAAAGGGTGCGGTGCGGTGGGCGGCCCTTTCAGAACGCATCGCAAATCCTCTCATCTCTCTCTCCCGCCACGCGTTTTGCTAACCTCCCACTTTACCCCGCTCCCCGCTCCTCGCTCCTTATCCTTCCCTTCTTCTTCACCCCCCTCCCTTTTTCAAACACCCCCCGCCTCCTCCATCTCTTCTTCCCCTCCTTCGCCCTTTTCACTATTCGTCCCGACTTGCAAAGGCGTTGAGGTCGCACTCACCTCGCTGCCTCAACATGGCCGACTTTATCGACTACTCGAGGCGCAACCGCACCCCCTCGCCCACAGACAACGCCGGGCAGTCTCAGGGACAAGGAGACAACAACCCCTTCTCCGATGGCGGTGATGTCGAGCACGAGAGTGGTGTGGCTCAGCAGCGACCTGGAGGTAGAGGTCACCACTTCGACGTGGAGTATCAGCACACTGCTGCTCCCGAGGAGGGTCAGCACCAAGCGTCCGGCACCGACAATGGCGCTTTCTTCGACCCAGAATTTCCGGAGGCAGCCCAGGCCGATGGCGATCTCGAGATCGTCTGGTTTCCACACGTCGTCGCTGTGAGCATGAGTCTTCCTCTGACGTCCGCAGCGGCACAGCTGCACAATGTGCTGGGCGTCATGCTGACACCGAATCTCTTGCTACACAGCGTTACCCTTCCATCGGCAAGATCGGCAAGCTGCGTGTACAGTTTCGTCAGACCGTATCATTCGGCCTGACGCTCGGCGCACTCGGTCTTGTCCTCGTCGCTGCCTTTGCTCACTATTTGAACCCCTTCAAGAAACGCCGCCCTCATGTCGGCACCGACAGGGAATACGAGCGCCGGATCACCGGCGAGCGCCTTTCCGGTCGACCGCAGTACTACTCCGAGTTTTGGGGCTACAGATGCGACGAGCACGACATTGTCACCGAAGGAGGATGGATTCTCAAAGCTCATCGCATTTCAGACCCTCGCCGCGCCGGTCCGCCCGGCCACCCCGTCATCCTGCAGCATGGTATTCTTTGCAACTCTTCGCACTTTTTCCTTTGCGAGGAGCGCTCCATGGCGTTCTGGTTGGTCGACCAGGGCTACGATGTTTGGGTCACCAACATTCGTGCGAACTTCAACGCCGGCCACACCGAGTACAATGACTGGGACCCTCGCTACTGGGCTTGGGGTCTCAAGGAACTTGCTCTCGACCTCCGCGATGTCGTCGAGTTCATCTCTGGTGCCACTGGCTCTCCTCGTGTTGCGTACGTCGGTCACTCGCAGGGCAGTGGTTCGATGTACCTCGCTCTTTCGCCAGGCATCTGTCCAGAACTAGGCAACAAGTTGAGCAGCTTTACCGCCATCGGCCCCTCCGTTTACGCCGGTCCGGTCCTCCGAAAGTTCCCCTTCAGCTTGATGCGCCAGTTCAGGTCCAGAAAGTGGTGGTCTCTCGTCTTCGGCATTCGCGAGTTCATTCCCGCGATCGGTCTCTTCCAAAAGTACCTGCCCGCATTCTGGTTCGGCCACCTCGGCTACGTTGTCTTCCACTTCCTCTTCGGCTTCAGCGACACCATGTGGGCTAGACGCCACAAGCCCAAGATCTTCCGCTCCCTTCCCATGCCCACCTCATCAGAGCTGCTCTATTGGTACATGGCATCTTTCAGCCACCGTGGGTGCATCTTCGACCCTCGTGTCCAGGAGCCATGGTTCCCTCGCACCTTCCCTCGTCACACCGTCATCGGTGGCTCCCTCGACATGCTCGTGCTTGCCAGACCTCTTTTCGCTCGTCTGGAAAAGTTCGAGCGCAACGTTGACATCGTGCACGCCGTCGAATTGGAAGGCTATGAGCACCTGGACTTCATCTTCGGTACCGACGCATACCGCACAACATACCCTCTGATTCACGAGACAATCCAAAGCTCGTTGACCGACTCTGAACGCAACCCAGAGATGGCTGAGCGTCGTTGAGTCACTTGCTCCCTTGCACGCTCTGCCTTCACTACAAGCGACATCAGGTAGCCCGATCTTGCATCCTCCAACAATCTTTCGACGATTCGCATTGTTTCAAATTTCTTCATTGCAAATGGCTCCGACCTACCTTGGACCCCTTGCTCGATACTCCTGCGAGTCACACTTGTTGCCCGCCCCCTTTTCTACCCGCTCCGCTCCCTATTTTGCACTGGCCGCTGCCGAACCGTTGTACGCAATCCTTTTTCACACATGCGCTGCCCACTTAAGTGCCTGCGCTCGCTACCGGCATCGGTACAGCTTGAGGAATCTCATTATAGCTATCTGACTCCAGGTGACCTCTCATGCTTGATGTTGTGCGCAAAGCGCTGGAGCCGCGGCGCGACTCTTACACGATTCATGCGATAGCAACGTGACCGGTATCCTCGGTAGCCTGGCTCACTAGAGCACCTGCACCTTCTTGGGTGTCTTCTATCCTCACCTCGAAGCCGTTTTTGGCGAGGTGTTGCTTGACTTCCTGGATCGAGACTTCTTTGCGATGGAAGATGCCAGCGGCGAGAGCAGCTTCGACAGATGAAGGGATGGGCGTCGCTGGCTCCGAGTCCTTGCTGCGCAAGACCTTTGGCTCGAAGACGTCCTGAAAGTGTTTTGCGGATCCTGCTCCTGAGCTGGCGACGACAGGCACGTTGACGCTCGATCTGACCAAGTCTATCAATTGCCTGTCGAAGCCGTTGCCTTGCCCATCCATGTCTATGCTGTTGATCAACAATTCTCCAGCCCCCAGCCGCGCCACACCGCGTGCTAATTGTACCACATCCAAGTCCTTTGCTTCTCTACCTCCGGATACCGTACATTGATACCACCAACACTTGCGATCGTCTGCCGTACCTGAGAGTCCGCTGACGATGCTACGCTGGTGTGCGTGTCCATGCTTTTCTTGTTCCGAAATGTACACCCGCTTGGGGTCGATCGAGACCACCACAGCCTGTGCGCCGTACGCTTTGGAGATGTTTTCGATGCCAGTCGTGCCTTTTAGTGCTTCTGCAGGCGCAGTGCCAGGATCTCGCGCTTCGTGTTCAGCACTCCCTAATGTTTGAGATGCCGAAATAAGATCCAGGACCGCATGGACGGCCTCGCTGCCAATGCTGACCTTGTCGGCCCCAGCTCTAAAGTACGCATCAGCTACCTCCTTGGCTGAACGTTTGGTGCCGTCGGGATCGACGGTGTCCTTGATGCCCCCGCCCACAGTGAGAGGAACAAATACGCATGCAGCAGCAGCCTCGACGACTGCCAACATGGGCTGATCGCGGAGTGCGGCCGACCGGAAAGAGGTGATGTTGAGGAAGCACACTTCATCTGCTCCTTCCTGGTAGTACCTTTCCGACAACGCGACTGGCTTGCCAAGATTTCGGACCGCCCTTCCTCCGGCAACCGCACTCGTCGACTGCTCGCGCACATCGTAAGATTCGCCTTTCGTCACCACCAGATCGCCTTGGTCGTTGCTTCGCACATCCAGACAAGCCACGACACGCTTCGTCAAGCCATCCTTCTGAGCCGGTTGGATGGCTTGAGAAAGTGGCTTGGGAAGCACGCCTCTTTGCGGCGGGCTCGAACTGGTGTTTGAGCCCCCCGCACGATCGAGCCAAGCTTTGAGCACCTCCAAGCCCGCCCTGCCGCTCTTCTCTGGGTGAAATTGAGTGGCAAAAACATTTTCGTTGGCGATCGAAGAGAGGAATATTTCGGTGCCGTACTGCGTCGTGGTGAGAGCCCACCGTTCGTGCTGGTCAGGAACAACGGCAGCCCTAAAACTGTGGACAAAGTAAAAGTGCTGTGGGCGCGCTTGCTCGTCCGACAGACCAAATTGCGAAGCGAAGGATGCATCGACGACTGGGTTTGCTCGATTCCAGCCCATGTGAGGTACGCTCTTGTAGCGATCGCTTTCGTCGAAGCGCTGCACCTTGCCGGGCACGATGCCGAGACCCTGAACGCCCGGAGCCTCGTCAGAGGACTGGAAGAGGACCTGCATGCCAATGCAAATGCCCATGTACGGCTTGCCTGATCGAATATAGTCGTGCAGTGCTGTCAGGTAGCCCGACTTTGACAATGACTCGATGGCAGGCCCAAATGCGCCAACGCCGGGAAAGAGCAAGGCCTGTGGGGATTGAATTGGCAAGAGGTGGCAGTGAAAGTGCGCGTCAGAATGCGATTTCGGGCTCGGATGGATGCGCGAGGTGGAGAAAGACTGACGGTGACATTGTCGCTTTGCAAGTCACTTGGAGAAGTGACCCACTTGAAGTCGTGGCCCAACTTGCGAATCGAGTTGGCCAAGCTACGAACATCTGCGATGAGGAGGGAGGAGGGAGTGCAGGTGTAGGTAATCAGCGACGAGATGAGGACATCAGGGCCACGCCTGTCATCACTAACTGCCTGCTCCGTAATCGAGAAGATAGAGCATGACGAGGAAAGCGAGTAAGCAGGCCAGGCAAAAGAGAGAGAGAGAGAGAGAAAGAGAGAGAGGATGCAAGGTTGGTGGTGATGAGGTAGAAGGTAGGGGCGAGTCTAGGTTGCAACAGACAAATTGCTGTGCTGTGCTGTGCTGTGCTGTGCTGTGCTCAAGGGTGACCTCCAGTCAAAGGCTGATGATGCGAGCCAAAGTGCGGCAATAGCAAAACAGTGATTGGACTCAGACTCTTCTGTTGCGCATGCTCAGGGATGACTCGACGAATCTGCGAAACAGCAAGGTGGATGGTGAATTGTGAATCAACAATTTGAGTGGTGAGTGTGATCGAGTCATGCAACGCACTCAAAGATGGGAATTTGATTCAAGATTCAAAGAATTGCAGCTCACGACTTGACGTTGACTGCCGTACGTGCGTGCGCCTGCAGGATCTTCGCGTCCCTCCACTCATCACGTGAAATCAGAATTTTGAATCTTGGGCGGCCAAAATTGAATGCATTTAAAAGTGCCAAGTCAAAAATCACAAATGTGAATATTGTTTTCTTGAAGCTTGTTCAAGATTCGCCCTGCAGTCAAAGTATTCGCAACCGCTAATCGACACCCACCAAGCTTCATCCTCGCCCTCCCTTCCCTCACCTCACGCCTAATTAATCGCCAGTCGTGATTCCAACGTAACGTCTGAAGTTCAGCCGTCATTGATTACCATTGCGGGTCATCAGCGTAAAGTCCTGCCCACAACACTGCACGCGTCCGGCCAGTCATGGCACCTTCCAAGTCCAAAAAGACGGCCAAGACCAATGTCAGCGCCATCGCCTCTTCCCTTTCCGGACAAGGAGATTTCACGCGCAAAAAGGCAAAAGTGGGGGTGAAAAAGGTGGGGAGCAACGCGACGAGGACAGATTTCAAGGCGAGATCCATCGCGCTGCCCAATCAATCCGTACTCGGCGCGGCACATCGCAACGACGAGAGACCGCAAGGCGCAGAAGCATCGTTGGAGGATGTGAGGACTAGAAGAGGCTTGGGATTGGCCCAGCTGGTGGTGCAGACGAGGCACTACAGCAAGGATGTAAAGAGGGGTGAGTACGGACAGCATGTAGAGTGGCAAGTGAGCCAAGCAAAGCTCAGCTCGGACTCTGCAACGCCCCCCATTTTCGTAGAGTCGCTCGCCTCCATACAGGAACTGCTCGGCAGCCATTCGCACCTAATCTCCTCCAGCGCATCCCACGTCATTCCTGCAGTGTCGGTGCTGCTAGGCGACACGGATGCTGGCGTCCGTCGCACATTGGCAAAGCTGCTCTTCTGGTATCTGCCCAGGCTACCGCCCGCAGTCCTCTCTCCTCACCTCTCCACCCTCATCCTCTACACCACTTCAGCGCTCAGCAACATCTACGCCCAGGTTCGCATCGATGCTTTGTCCACGCTCGATTTGCTGATTCGTATCGCACCCGCGCATGTATGCGCAGGTTGGCAAGACGCTCCTGCCATCCGGTCCCTCGCCTCGACATCCACCCTTGCTTGCACTTCTCCTTTGCAAAGTGCAAGCACCAGCGCCGGAGCTAGAGTCGCGGATTGCTTTTGCACCCTTCTCGGCTTGCACTCCCATGCCAATGCCAATGCTGCACCAGCATCTACCCTTGGCTCAGCAGCATCAATGGGCTCAGCGCAGATCAGCACCGTAGCCTCAGATCTGAGCTCATCTGCCAAGATTCGCCTATTCCAGACACTCTCAGCTTTCCTTGTCGCCGCGGAACGTGGGCAACGGCAGACGCATCACGTCGAGGCTGAGGCGCATGAGGAGTTCGGAGAGACCGAAGAAGATCTTGCCGCCTCTTTCTGGCCCATCGCGTCTTCGTTCCGCACACCAGCTGCATACCGCGCTTTTCTGCATTCTCTTGCGCTTCATTCGCCATCGAGTGCAAAGCGTGATGACGCCGTCGTTGACTGGTCCCACAACATAGCATCAGGCAGCTTCGGAAGCAGCGCCACGCAGTGCACACGGCTCACCGATCCGCTCACGACGGCGTCTTCGTCAGCAGCAGGTCATTGGAACTTGCAGGACCTTCAAGGAGGCATGCGAGACTGCATCGCTTCTGGCTCTGCGACCTTTCAGTGCCATGCCCTCGCCGCGTCAACTTCGACGATTGACGATGCGCGCCAAGTGCTTTTCCAAGCATTATCCCCGCTTCTCTTGTCTTCCTTCTTAGAAGCTGCTCCGGCCGCCTTCCCCGCCGCTCTACCTGACTCTTCTCCCGCGTCAAGAGCTGAGAATTTGGACTTGGTGCAAGGCGTGATTGATTTGACGCGGGCGCTCTGGCAAGGGAACGGGAACGCGCCGTCTAAAGAAGACGGCGCACGATCCCAAGCGGCCCACACGCTTGGCGCTCTGCTTCAGAAATGGTCAAAGTGGTGGCCTTTTGCTGGCAGGCCAGCCGAGGGAGCCCAATCACCGTCAGACTCTACCATCGCTCGCTTGCAAGCTCTAGACACGGCGTTTGCGGAACTGTACGCTCTTTGGATGTTTGCGGGTGTCCGGCCTGACCAAGCGCAAAGGAAGGACAAGGCAAGAATGGTCAGGTTGTCCGACGTGCAGGCGCACGTTGTCGATGTTCTCTTGCGCGACGCACGTAGCAATGAAGGTTTTGATTGGGATGTGTTCCCACAGGCACCAGGGACGAAGGCCAAAGGAGAAGTTTCCCTTCAAACAGTCGTGCCTGCCTCTGCTGTACAGGGCGCTCAAAGTCCACGGTCCCTCACAGCAGAAGAATACACGGCTCTCTTGCCCAGCGTCTGGATGCTGCTAAATCGACGAAAAGATGTTGGTGAGGGCGTTGCAACCTCAGAAATGGCTGCCTCGGACATGGACAACGGCGTACATGCTGTATTCGTTGCGCTGCTTGAACACTGGTGCGCTGCGAAAGGGCTAGCGAAACGCGCCGCGACCAAGGCTATCTGCGCATTTGTTTTGGTGAGTCTGCATGCATCAGATGAGCCAGGACTGCGCAAGGTGCCCATTCGTCCAAGACTTTTCTCTCCTACGTCACAGGTACACTCCTCCCCATCATCTGCTTGCCTCTTCTCTCCATCGCTCAAATGCGGGAGGTACAGTGCGCCATTGCGCAATTGGCTCAGCATGCTTCCTCGCTACCTGTGGGAATTGAGCAACAAACATCCACCCACTTCTCTCAGCATCTTGACATTCATGCATGCCCTCGTCCTGCAAGCTCCTCCGTCATCCTCAAGCACCTCGTCCAGCTCTTCGCTGGGCTTCTTGCATCCTCTCCTTGTTCCTTTCTTTCAGGTGAAAGCGGGAAGCAAGACAATCAAGGGACCTTACTATAGGTTGGATTCAAAGTGTCAAGCTAGAGCTAAAGGACTGTTGTTTGCTCTTCAACCCCTCGATCAAGGGCTTCGAGATGCCGCGGAGAGCGTCGGGGCGGTTTAGCAGGTCGAGTGACGAGCTGAACAGACTGACTGCTCATGGCATGCGGAAGGCTCGGAATCGGCCATCACAGCACCCTATCCAGGCTTTTGAGCATAGCGTGCTCTGGCGACTGCACATCCTTGGCTCGGCATGTGCGCTCGGAGACCAATGTAACATACACCTCACACGCATCATACATACTCTAATTTAACATCGTCCCAGAAAGGCTTGCAATCTGATCCCCCCCCTTCCCCTAAAGCTCTACCAAATTCCGGCATGAAGCCGAATCCGCAAAGCGCCCTTCGTGAGAACTTGACATTCAGCGCTCGCTTCCCGCAAGAGGCTGCAAGGTATATATTCTCCAAAATGGATGAGGGTGATCCGTGGCGCACATCGAGGCGTTGCCCATCCACTGCATGCCCAACGAAAAGCTTCGGGATCTTTTGTAGGCATTGCCAAACAGTGCGCAACGGCAGCTTCTGCGGTTCGCTTCAAGTGAACCATCGTCGAGGTGTGAAGTTGAGAAGCTCCAAGAAGCTCTTCGCAATGTCTCCAATGGCGTACGTCGGTCTTGTAAGGACACCTTTGCCTACCACAACCACTCTCCACGCCTCCTTTCCATCAATCTTGACAGTGGCAATCACTTTCGGCGCGGCAGGATCCCTGGTGTCAACTTCAAACTGTGAAAGCATGCGAGTGATGGATCTGCGTTAGTGCTGACGAGATGGCTTCTTCAATGAAGCCCCATGAAGGCCTGCCATGCGCACCTCGGTCCACTTCACGTTCCCGTCTGGCAGATACTTGTACACCTTTTCCACACCAGTGGGGCCCAGACCGTGATCCTGTGAGAATGTTCTGATCGGCAAGTCTGCGACGAGATGGAGAAGGTGATGGCCGTTTCACCATGCGTCAGCAATTGTGGATCATTTGAAACGCAGACTTTGCCTCTTCGAGCACGATCAGGTACAGTTGCACTTCAAGAAGCACGCGGAACTCCCCGAATCGTGCCCGAGGCTTGATCAAATGCTGCCAGAGATGCCGCAATCGCGAGCACACTCACAGAACATCGAGAGCGGGCTGGTGCTGAACTCGGTCACAGGATAGTCGTCCTTGGGATAGGTCGCCGTCTTGAGCCCGACAGACGCAAATTCGTGCCTGTCACCGCTAATGACGATCACGTTCGGAACATACTGTTGGGAGGGGAGAAGGCGAGGTCAGCGAGTATTTGGAGAGGGGTAAGGAGACGCATCCTTCTATTCACCTGCAAAACTTCCAGCAGCTCTTCTCGCTCGGTCCGATATGCGTTCCAAGAGTCTTCTTTCCCGTCCCAGTCCAGCGCACCGCCCCAGAGCGTGTTGAAGGGTACAGATGAGACCACAAACTGTCAAGACACGCGGCCGTTCAGCATAGCATAGTAAGCCTCGCTACTGATGCTTGTGCGCGTAGCGCACACACTCACCTTGAAGCTGCTCGTAGCATTCACACTCTTGATCCAGTCCAGGAACACCTGCTTCTGCTTTGAGCCTAGCATGGTCTTGCTAGCGTCGTCAGGCAGCTCGTGCGGACTCCTGAATTTCCGAGTGTCCCAAACGAAGAATGCCGTGCTCCCGTACCTAAACTCGTAGTAATTCTCCTCTTCGGCCGCTGCCTTTGGGTTCGCACCACCGACGTACTCTCTCCAGGCTTTGTTCGCTGGCTCGAACGCTGGAGCCTCTGCCAAGACGTGCACATCAACCTCCTCGATGTTGGTTGCTGACTGCGCCGGCATAGCTTCGTCACCAGCATCGTGTCCCACAACAGACGGAATCTGAACATGATCCTGGACGATCTCTGCTCGCTCCGTATCGTAGCGCTTGCTAAACGTCTTGAGCAGCTGCAATCCTGACCAGTTGTTCTTGACCTCGTGATCGTCATAGATACCAATGACCGGGATGCGCTCATACACACGACGGAAGGATTCCGAGTCGTAGAGATTGCGGTACAATTTTCTGTACGCGTCGAGAACGGGACCACCCCACCGAGGAACATCGGCGTAGATGAGATCGCTGCATGTTCGATCCAACGATTCAGTACTGATTGAGTGCACACGAAGAGCGCGCGAAACTCACCCAAGTTGCAGCATGAACCTCACTCGCGGCCGATCAAGTCCATCGATGTTCGTCTTGGCGAAGAGGTCGAAGCCGGGAATCCTATTCCGCAAAGCGAACCCTCCTTGCTCACTGCCAATTCCGATGATCCTCAACGTCCATGACCAAGCCCAGAACTGCGTCGGGACCCAAGGAAAGTCTGGCTTGACGCAGGAAGACGATGCAAAGGAGAAGCTGCGGAGCAGGTCGCAGAGTGCACGTCAGAGCCAATTACGCGAGCCACGAGTGAGGCTGCATCGCACGTGGCACATCAATCTCCAGCGCAAGCTTGCAATCTCGCTTTAGCACCGTACCGCACCGCTGCTTTGCGTGACGCATGACTTGTCGGTAGCCTTAGCCAACTACTCACTGCTCTGGATCGTCCCAAGGCGCGGCATCACCCTCTCTCCACGGCGCCAACATGCTCCTCGCTTCCTCTCTTGCTCGTTTCGAGACGGGCACTCCCTTGCTAGCAGCCGGGCTCAAAAAGGGATCGTTCCCGTTGGGCCATGTGATGAAGCTCCTGCTCATCTCTGGAAACGGCGCGAAGCTATTGTTGTGCGCCCAGATTAAGCGGTACTCGTACCTTGTAGATGGCAGCAAAGAGGAGAGCATCACGGTATCTACCCAGTCCGTCTTTGGGGAGATGGATAGTAGCGGTCCTCTCTGCCACGCTTTGATTCCCGCATTTCGTCGCATCGCACCCGTGTAGTCCTTGGTGTATTCAACCAGACTCGGCAGAGAGACAGATTCGCGATATACGACTCGCAGAGGAGTAGTCAGGCCGAGGGTGTCAATGGGTTCGTGGTCGCCTTGCGTGCCACCCAGCCATGGAACAGTATCATCCAGTGTGGTTTTGATGTCGCTCAGCGGGTCTTGGTGTCCGAATGGGAAAGGGTATCTGAAGTGCAAAGTAGCGCTCGTCGAGTCGATCGCTCCAGTGCGGGCAAAATGCAAGTGATGCTCGAGGTGAGAGGGAAAGAGATAAGGCGAATAGAATGCGTCGACAAAGAAGAGGAAGAGCAGAGTGTGTGCAGCCAGCGCAAGCGCGCTGCGAGCCCCTCGTCCATCCCGAGGGGAGCTGATGCCCAGCACCAAGGGTCTCCACAGCTGTCGAGCTGAGAAGGATGCATGCTTGACGCCATTCATCGAGCGACCATTTGGAGAGGTCGAGTACCTGCTCCAGCTGCGCCAAGCTTGCAGCAGCCAGAGCAGCACGTAGGCTCCGTACAGTATGGGCACCGTGGGCGAGGCCAGACCGGTAGGGATCCATCGCAAGAATATGAAAACGGCGAGGCGAAAGAGCACAGAGACGAAGAGTTGGAGCATGGACAGTCTGGTGCGACCATCGGGCTTCGCTTCTGCAGTCACGGTGCCGGATGCGAGAGTTGCCAGCGAGGATGCGGTGTGGGAGAGCGAGTTGGAAAGGGAGAGGGAAGTCGAGGGGGAGATGGGGGGTGAGGAGGAGGATGATGAAGACTTGCTGTGCCTTGGCTTGGACTTGGCGTCGGGCATCAAGCCCGAATCACTGCGCCTGACCATTCTGTTGAACAGAGAGGGGGGTGGGATGTCGAGGGAAGGCGACCGACACTTTAAAATGATGGTGTGAGCGAGCAGGAGAGACGGGCCGGCGAATGAATGAATGAATGCTCGATGGCGTGAGAGACGCGCATGGAAATTCGAATCAGCATGCTGCAGAATCAAAACATGCAAGATGAGGCATATGATCACCAATTCACGATTCTGACTGACTACTAATTCACAGGGTCCAAGCGCACGCCCATGCGCACGCCCACGCGCACGCCCGCACCCACGCGTCCATCCTTGCATGCCCCCCCGCACGTCCGTTCGAATCAAGAAGAAGACTCACTAGTCACAACTGTAAGCCAAACAGATTCGCGATTACACATCACAAATGTCCCATTTTCATGAACCTCGAGCTTGAATTTGAGTGGGTAATGCCAACGATAGCGAATCACAACTCAACCTTTCTCCTCCCACAGCATTCTCATCCACCGCACTCAAAAGACAGTGCGTCGACTTTCCGAACCACGATCTGGCTGCGCAGTCAAGTGACGGCTTGCGTCCACGCAACGCGTTCCATCGGATCTGCCATGAGCAATCACTTGACCATCTTCATCATCCAGCTAGCCAGCTGCCAGAGTATCGGCAAAGGGAAAGAGGAATGCTTTCAAAGTGTACAACGTCCGCGTCTACAATGCCCCCCTCTCCTACACGCCACTCATTCTCCAAAATCCCTCCATATGAGGGTCGTAATGTGATGCCGCACCTCCTCGCCATCAGTGGTCCTGAACAAACTTTGCAAACTTGTTGAGGCCCTTTGTCACGGCATCCTTTGCCTTGCTTTTGCCGTCCGGTGCGCCTCCACCGCCACCGCCGTCGCCGCGTCCATTGGTAGGTGGCAAGCCTTGACCGGGATGAGCATCATCTTGCACCTCTGCACCCAATCGCATCCTCTTGCCAATGTGTGGTCTGCCAGGTACTTTGGGATTTCCATCATGGTCAAACTCTAGTCGGTGAATGCACATGTGTCGAGGACCTCCTTCGTGTATCAAGCTGTGAAAGGCGATGAACCAATGTCCCTCCACTCCTCGCACGATGCTCTGACCTCCAGGTCCTCGGATACCCCTCAGAGAGTCCGTGTAGAGAAGCGGCTCCTTGTGAGGCGTGTAAGGGCCCGTCACGCGCTTTGATGTCGCGTAGCCCGTAGCGTAGCCCGAGGTGGTAAAGGTGCCGCTGGAGTAGAAGAGAATGTAGGTTCGACTCGAAGGCTCGTACACGAGGTACGGAGCTTCAAGCAAGGAGTTTTGCCACGACTCTGTGGGTGCCAGTAG